GAAAGAAAATACATGAGGGGATGGAACAATATATATATATATATATATATATATATGCATATAGAGAGGGGGGATATATCCCATTAAGCTATTGAGGGTTTAGAGAAAGATAGAGGAGAATGAAGATAAATGAAATCTGTAGCCAACAGAAAAGTGTACATGAACCATGAACCTTTTAAAGCAATTGAAACTAGGGATAGAGTACATGGCTAGTGACTTACCTTGGCATCCCTTTAGGGTGTTTCAGTTCCCATAAAATAGTGTTGTTTCTGGGTAGAGCATCATGGTGGAAGGGTTTGGTGGAGCATTACTGATCACTTCATGATGGCCAGGATAGAGGTTAAGAAGAAGAAGAAAAGCTAAATGGAGGAGGGAGAGGGAGAGAGACTGACTAATCAGGAGAAGATACACCCTTTAAGGCAAGCCCTGCATGAGTCACATTTTCCAGCAAGCCCTCAACTCGTTACATCTCATTCAGTGTGAACTCATCAGTAGATTAGCACTCCTCAACAGTGCTACCATCTTGGATCAAGCCTTCAACACATGAGCATTTTTGAGGGACACTTCACATCCAAACCACATCAGATGTGTGAGTAATAGACCATCTTATTTTGTCGCAAGGTAAAGTCAGTATTTTGGATTTAATATAGAGGTCATGTGGTTGTAAAATGTGTATATGGATACTAGACTAAGAAAACACAAAACAGTAAGAAACAGTTACAGATATCACGATTCAGTCTCATTTTTTTCTTCCCATTGTTGTTCGATTTGTCACTATATAAACATACAGACAGGAACAGATTCTGCATACAGATGTTTTCCATTGTGTGCATTTGAAGTAGGGAAGCCATTGAAAACTGCTGTTCTGAAGAACTTCACATTTTAATGCAATAATATTTGAATAACAGTGTTAGTGGCACCCTGTAAATTGTAAGGTATACGTCTTTATATAATTTGATGAGTTCCTATAGTCAATGATGTATTTCGCAGGAGGAAAGACTAGAAAATTTAAAAATGAATTCTATTGCAAGTACAGTAATATTCATTATAGTATTTTCTGTAACAAAGCAACACAGCTCCACAATGCTATTAATGTGTTGTGTCCAACTTTTTGGAAGTTTTTGTTGCTTACAGACTTGGACTTTGACGGATTTAAATTAAATTACTCTGTTTTCTTCATGGACTCATTTCAAGCCCTTAAATACTTTGGAAGACTTTATATTTGTTTAGTTGTTTAGAGTACTCTAAAAACATCTTTGCTCATTATCTAAAACTTGATTCCTATCTAAATCACATTTTGAAATATTTAGGACTGTCTGATTCCTGGAAATAGGCTTTAAGGATGCTTATGAAAATTAGGTTATACTAAGATTGGCTAGGGAAAGAATGTGGTGCGTAAAAACAACCTTGACTGCTTGCAGAATCAGTGCGCTTAGACTAAAACTCTGCCCCAAATCTGTAAAAGTGTGTAGGGAATTTTGGAATGCTTTGCTAGTCTTTCCAAAAGAGAAGAAACTGATGGAATTCTGGGATGAGGGTTTGAGGAAAGCAAACAGAAAAGCCAGCCTTGCATGTGACACTGAGAGGTCTGTGGCTCTGATTGGAATTCTCTCTTTTTCATCATGCTGGGGAGTGAGAAGGGGGAAGGGGGATATTCTGAGACTGACTGGAGGACTGTACTGTTGGGGAAAGCACTGGATGATCAGGAATGCTGCATGCAGAGCTACCAAGACCAAGCTTGCAAGGGGCCCTTGAGACCAGGGTCATGTCCAGACTCTAACAGACCAATCTCAGAAGTTCAATCTAATTCTGTAAGATATTAAATATGTAAGAACAAATCACTTAATACTGTGTTGCTTTATTGGCCTAGTATTAATATACACGTTCACATCTACATAGGAGCTTATAAACTAAAATGCTGGTTTTATCCCATGACAAAGGATCTGTTATAGGTAATACTGACTTACAATGGATTTCTTTAAAAACTTGCAGATAAGTGTTCAAAACATGTTTCCCAGTCTCAAAATAAAGATTATTTTAGGGAAAGAAAATAACTGGCTACATCCATGTCTTGTTTTGATCAGTTGATTGCAACAAAGTATTCTGCAGCCTTCACTTGAAGCTTTGCCTTTCAGGTGTCTTTAAGTTTTTAAACATTCACACTTAGTCTAAGTGTCTAATGGTAATTCATATGTCTAAGTATCTAATAATAATTCAAGGTAGTAAATGACAGTATTTTCTTTGAATATGAGAACAGAAGAAAAAGTGTTATGGTCAAATGAAAGATTTATTTTATAGTAAATCAGAATGAAACCCTTGAACTCTGGACTACTGGAACTATAATTGGCACATGTCAATCAGTTTCTGGCAGCCACTCAAGTCAAGTGAGGGACAAAGGGAAAACCAGGTTATAAACTGTTGTCAGCCCCGTTATCTTGGATGAGACTTTCAGACTTATGACTGGCTCAGAAACCTTACTTTTTCTGCTTGATGGTTGCAGTGTGATGGAACAGATCTCACCCCAAAGATCCAGGAGCTGAAGTTCCAGTGTATAGTATTTTTAAATATACCCAGGTAAGCTCTGTTCATATTATTTCTTTTGTTTGATATGAACTCTTTGACTTGGGGTATCAAATCATGTTATGACTTTCAGGCATAACCAATGAAAACCACTATTTTAATGCCCTATGAAGTTTCCCGTGTCTGCAATTTTATGTGCCTGCTTGGTGTTCCCTGCGGTAGGAGGTTCTGCCTGTGCTATAGAATGAACTGTACTCATCTGCTTTGAGACACTTAGGTGCTGCTCTTGATCTAACCATTTTCAGTTACTTCTCAGTTATTGCCCTGTTCCCACTCCACTGCCTCCAAGAATGGCAGATGTGAGCAGGCATCTGCTTTTTGAAATACTTACTTTGGCTATTTTTTAAATAAGCTTATTACTTCAGTGCATAAAATTTGATTATAGTTTTCCAAATCAAGACATTGGAAGGCAAGGGCCTATAAACCCTGGTTACTGGCCTACTAATCAACTCACACACAGATCTGCAAATACACTTTGACTGAATTTAATGAAAATGAGAGTTTGATGAAAATTTGTGTCGAGGTCTAGGAAAACAGATCATAGTCTCTAGGTTATTCTTGGCAGTGCTAAGTATGACCAGTCACAGCCCTGCTCCAGAGGCTCCTCAGTGTGGTTTTGGCAGAAGGCTTGGGAGGCTGCAGAACACTGACTGACAGTTCTTACTATTGTTTTTCTCTTTCCCATCCTCTTATTCCTGCCCTTATTCCTTTATGTAGTCTCCTTTCTCTGCTTTTATAATTTCACTTCTTTTCCTTTCCCTTTTCCCTCCCTCCCTTCTTCCTCCCTTCCCCCTCCCTCCCTCCCTCCCTCCCACCCTTCCTTCCTCTAGTGCTGGGAATAGAACTCAGGACCTTGTACATGCTAAAGAAGTCTTTTATCCTTCCTTCTTTCCCTCCCTCCCTCCCTCCTTCCCTCTCTCCCTCTCTCCTTCCTTCCTTCCATCCCTTTCCTCCATTTCTCCCTCCCTCTCTCCCTCCATCTCTCCCTCTCTCCCTCTCTCTCTATGTAACTGACAATCCCATCACAGTCTCCCAAGTCGTGTACTATAGTCATGTACCACCATATTTAGCAAATTTCATTTCATACATTTAAGAAGTCATTTACATTCCTTTCTTTCCCTGTGGGCACTTCTTCTCTATATACATTTATATTTAAATGCTTAAATATTGCCCACCTTATTTTTATATTAGCTTGAACATAATTATGTCTTCATTTAGCATAATTATTAAATTATTAAAGGCAATTCACAAGATATCATAGGAAACATATGTGTACCCTAAAGTAAGAAATAATGGCTGAGAGGAAAGATAGGAACCACAGGATATTTTGTTGTAAAATTATGGCCCATTTTCTCAAAGTTATACTTTGGAGACAATAAGTCTATTTTTTCATAGTGGAAGGAATATGTTAAGAAACATTGAGTCTCAGTAGAAATGATTTTAAGTTTATTTATAAACTGATATGTAGAAACAGAAACCCTGTGTATAATCATGGGCATGCTACATGAGGCTTTGATGCATGCATCCATTAACTATGAGTTAATTCCTAGTGATAGCCAGGAGAAGAATGTGATGTCTTTAATTCTGTCTCCTGACCTTCTTTGCAGATATTGTGCTGGCACAATGCCTTGGGGAAACCCTGGAGATCACCATGACTTTGAACCTCAGCGTCACGATGACGGTTATATTGAAGTTATTGGATTTACCATGGCCTCTTTGGTGAGTAACGTGACTTATTTTATTGAACAGGCTTTGTTAAAATAGTTATTTCTCCTAGTTTACCAACTTTATACCCAACAGAAATCTGTGGCACAAACATGAACAAAGTCATTATGTCTAAAAACCGACTCATATTTGTTTTGGATTTAAAAAAATAAATGGATTTCATTAGATTCTGTTTTACAATAAATTTTCATGTTTATGAGACCACTATAGCACAGAAATAGTACAGCATTAACACAGAACCCATGGTGTTCATGCTTTCTATGCTTCACCGAGGAACTGAATATTTAACTAAAAAAATCTAGTTATTTGCATTCAATTCCATCTTGCTCACTTATGCATGAGATAGATATATTGGTCATCACAAAATACTTGTAAATAGAAAGATAGCATTATGGTGACCTCGGAACTATTCAGTGGCTATAGTATGAAGATCACTTTGTATTTTAATATTTTCTATTAATACTAAAAAGTTAATTTATATTATAAGTGCATTTCAATTTTTGTATTTATAGCATAAGTGTATTTCGACCATTTTATTTTTTTAAGACAGGGTCTTACTGTGTAACCCTGGCTGGCCTGGAACTCACTATCTAGAGCAGACTGGCCTTGGAACTCATAGAGATCCACCTGCCTCTGCCTTCTGAGTGCTAGGATTAAAGGTGTGAACCACCATGTGTGGCTCAAACAACTTTTAACCACACACTCCCACTTATTCAATAAGGGGTGACCAGTTGAGAATTTAAAGAAATAATTACATTTATTTTATGTTGTGTTGTATAAATCAAGCTACACTCTTAGTTTGTACAACAAAGCAATATAAAACCTCTACTTATAGCTTCTGGATAGTGTCTGATTAGTGCTAAACCTCATGTAAAAAAGGGAAGGAGGTTGAACTTCTGTTTTAAATAAACAAGAACAGGTGTCTTATTTCTTTCCCTGTTGCTGTGATAACCATGACAGAAGGAACTTGGGGAGAAAGGGTTTACTTCAGCTCATAGTTTAAGGGTACAGTCCATTATGGCAGCACCTTGAAGCAGCTGATCACATCACATCCACAATCAGGAAGCAGAGATCAGTGAATGTACTCTGCTGCTCAGCTCCCTTTCTCCACTTATACAGTCCAGGATCCCATCCAGGGAATGGTGGTGCCCACAGTGGATGGATCATCCTTCCTCAGCTAATGCAATCCCCATAAACCCCCACAGCAATGCACGGAGGTTCATCTCCCAGGTCATTCTAGATTCTGCTAAGTTGACAGTTAGCAACAGCTATCACATAGATCACATTGCACCCACACTGTGGGTTACAATGGACTCTTCCTCTATTACCTCAGATTAATGCACTTTGACACAATAACCTATGTGATTATGGTAAGAATCTGTCATTTGAATTGGTGATGTTCCTGAAGTCAAGGCTACCATTTTTTTAAGCTTGAGGACTGTGGTGATTTGAATGAGAATGTCCCCCATAGGCTCCAAGTATTTGGATATTTTGTCCCCAGTTGGTGGTGCTGTTTTGGGAGGTCTTAGACGGTGTGGCTATCCTAGAGGAAGCATGTCGTAGGGGCAGGCTTAGAGAGTTCGTAAGCCTTACTGGATCTGCAATTGCTCTCTTGCTTCCTGTGCCTGCTTGAAGATGTAGCACCTAGCTTCTGCTCCTCCTCCAGCCACCTCTGCCACCATGCCTCCCTGCCATGTGGACTCTTGCCCCTTTGGAACCATAAGCTCAAATAAACTCTTCCGTCTATGAATTACTTTGGTCAGTGTTTCTATCACAGCAACAGAAAAGTAACTAATACAAGGACAGTTTTAGAGTTTGAAAAGAAAAGTGACAAGGCAGGCAAGCTAGAGAGAGAGAGAGAGAGAGAGAGAGAGAGAGAGTGCTTTTGAGGATTGAAGCTCAAGCAGCATTCTTTGTCATCAAGGCTCCCTATGCTAAAGGCGGGGAGCAGGTGGGGCTAACCTCAGGAAGAACACGTGCATGGAAAAATTATTGGAGGTGGCAAGGCTGTGCGCCGTATAATGAAAAAGCCCTCACAAATAGTCCTCATGTATTTTTTTCTCACTCCTTGATCCAGTGAACATTTACTGAGTGGTTTATCTTGTACTACAGCTCCCTCATCGTGTCTGTGAGGTAGAAGGCTGTCAGCAATTGCTGGAGCAATGATCCTTTTCATGGACTTGAGAGACCATGGGTTGCAGTCCATACCTCCTCATTGTGCTCAAGCTCAAAGTCTAGATCCTTACCTGGTCTATTACTTTTCTGTTGCTGATGGAATGATAACATTTCATGATCAAAGCAACTTAATGAAGAAAGAGTTTGTGTTGGCATATGTTCTGGAGGGATAGAGTCTATCATGGCAGAGAAGGAAGGTATGGGGGCAGGAGCAAGAAGCTGGCTGATCACATTTTCATCCACGTATAGGAAGCAGAGAGAAGGGACAGGAAGTAGGGAGAGGCTATAATCCCTCAAAGCCCCCCCCAACCCCTGTGATTTACTTCCTCTAGCAAGTTCCCACTTCCTAAAAGTTTCATAACTTCCGCAAACAGCACCACCAACTAGAGACCAAGTGGTCAAATACATGAGTCTGTGGCGGCTATTTCTGATTCAGACCATCACACCTGGCCAATAGGGTTCTTTCTGGTTCTCCAGTCAAACTTAAACCTAACTTTAAACATCCCTGGATTCTTTTGCATATCCAAACTGTTGCCCATGTTATCTTTCTTTACAATGCCCTTTAACCATTCATCTTCTGCTACTCAGTCTATGTCTTCAGCAGGCTATTAGTATACCCTTTTGTTTCTTTGGGCAGTTTGGTTTAGAATTGTTTAATTGCTGACTGAAGAAGAAAGATGAGGCAGATAAAAACTGAAAAATTAGCTGAGAGTTTAATGGTAGGACTCTTTACTCACAGTGCCCTTGGTTATTGTGAACTGATGATGCAATGGTAAAGAAACAGACACAACACTGTGTATTACAAAGGGACCAACCTTGTAGACGCCAACCTGTTAAGCAGGCAGAGAAAGAGCCCAGATGTAAAGACAGTCTCTATCTCAGTCACTGATTATCTCCAATGGCTTCCTCTAGAGGCAGAAGATAGGGAAGCCATAGATATAATACCAAATGTACCCGAATGATTGGAGAGAAAGGAGAGTAGCGAAAACAGGGGAGACTGGAAGCAGCAAATGGCCGCTCAGCCCCACAGTGTTCAGTCCAACATGTGTGCAGCATGGTGCCCCAAACCTAGAGCTGTCCAAATATAACGACCAAATGATGTGACCGCGAGAGGAATGGAATTTGGTATTCTCAAAAAAAAAAAAGAAATTTATAAAGACTTGCAAGTATGAGAAATCATAATCCTTGGTGGGAACTGTAAGAGGTTTTCTGTTGCATAAACATAGGTGAACAGTGAGGGTGGTGGTTCCTGATGAAAAGGGAAGGGCCAGGACATAGGATGCTCTTGAGAGTTGATCTGGGAGTTTTAATTTTATCCAGTGTCCCTGAGAACTTAGTTATTTTAATTTTAAAAATTGGGGTACATATGTGTGTTGTGTATGCATGTGTGCATGTGTGTTCACACTTACACTGGTGTGTGTGTGTGTGTGTGTGTGTGTGTGTGTGTGTAGGCCAGAGGTTGATTACTCTCCACTTTATTTATTGAAGTAGGGCCTTTCACTGAGCTCAGGCCTCACTGATTTGGTTAGTCATCTAGTCAGCTTGCTTCGAGGATCCCTTGTCTCTACACCTTGTGCACATGAACTATAGATAGGCCACCATATGTTCCCAGACATGTACATGTTCTGAAGATCTGACCTCTGGTCCTCATACCTGCATAATGAACACTTTATCCACTGAGTCATCTCCCTGTCCCTCAATTTTTTTTAATATTTTTAAAAGTGAGGCTTTCAAGTGAAAAGTTGACAAAATTATAGGATGAATCCCCAAGTATTGTCCCACTCTGTTTTTATAATTACCCACAAATACAAAATCTTACATCCTTCTCCCTTATTTTATTTTGAAGTAGATCACACATTATGTTATTTAACCCATAAATATTTATGAATGCCTTTTTTTTTTACAATACACTTTCTTTATTAAATGAAACCCACAATATTATCTAAAAACCAGTGGATCTAAATATCACTGATTATCTGCTCAGTGTTATAAATATGATTGGCTGATATGATTAAGTCTCTGTAGAGCCCATCCTAATTCTTATTGTTCCTCATGTATTTGTTGATCAAATCAGACTGTTGCTTGGTAAAATTTCTGGGTCTGAATTCTACTGACAGCATTCCTGAGGCTTCAGTTAACATGCTTTTCTTTCTCTTCCAATTGCCATGAGCTGATGGTTGGATATACCCACATTTTCTTGTAAACTGGCCTTGGTTAAGCATCCTATTCCTAATAGCCAAAGCCTGAACCTTTTTGAGTGCCAACACTCAAAAAAAGAAAACCCACATTAATTTCAGAGCATTTCAGATTTTCTGATTAGGGATGCTCAACTGGTGAAGCCTATGAAGTATTCCAAAATCAAAGAAACAAAGCAAAATAAGAGAAAGGGAAAAACTCTGAAATTTGAAAATTTCAAACATATTGGATAAAGAATGCTCAGTTTATAGTTGAATTTAAAAATATCCCCTATATTTCCCCAAAATCTATTTTGTGGTTTGTATTTTTCTCTAGAAAGGAAAAGGAATGGTTCAT